TGCAAGACATGGTTTTCCCCCAAATCCCACCTCTCTTCTTGGTAAAAGGGGCGGCTCCTTTTGGCTGGTGGTTGGGGCTGCTCCAGAAGGCTCAGACAGCATTTCCTGGTCAGGAAAAGGACGTCCTATTTATCCACTGGGCTGCATAACAAAATGCCATTCTCTACTTTGTTCTGGATGACCGGGCATGGAGGAACGCAGTCAGCCTGAGCAGTTATTATTTTGGTTGTTGTCTTTGATGTGCCAAAGAAATGATGACATAGAAGCCCGGAGCCTGGCTCAGGAGCCAGAAGCTTGTTAGTGATTAGAATGGGGATAAAGGCCCTGTGGAGTTTCCCATTGTGTGTGTAGAGCTCAGAGCTGCCAACTCTCTATCCTAGAGCTTTGAGTACAGTTTGAGCCCCCTGAACTGGCCCCCTGGGAGCTGGGTATGTGGAAAGAGTCAGAAGCAGCTAGGTCTGCCTCTCATCAGAGTCCAGGTTAAGTTGTCTAGCCCAAAGGCTCCTCCCACAGAGCCTGTGGTCTCCTTGCCCCAAGGGTGCACCCTGGGTTTTGTTCTTCCAGGTCACCATCTTGCCAGCCCTGGGGTTGCAGACTGTCAGGCCATGGATCCGGTTCAGCCCTCAGACAATTGAGCTGGGCCCTGATGGTTTTCTCCATTGGCAGTTGTTGCCAACCTTTGAAAACGAGTGGGTTTCCCATAAAAATCTGGATTTCTGGATTCTCTTTAAAAATTGGAAGATTTGGCAACAGTAGGTCTGCATTCCCACAGTTGGCTGGAGTCACGGAACCATAGCCATCGTGGACTGAGCCCAGCCTCTGCAGTTCCCCACTGCTCCTGCCTTTCCCCGAGGGCCCCATGCTCAGCCAAGTCACCGGGTCTTTCATCCAGCAGAGAGCGGAGTGATGTGGCTGGAGGTGTGGCTTGTGCTGTAACACCATCACCATTGAGATTCTGCCTTCACCCTCCTGAGCAGTGTGATCTTGGGAAAATTCCTTCATCTCTTGGGGCTGCAATTGTCTATTTCGGTACAGTGGGCATAATATACAGCCTACCTCGCAGGGCTGATGTGTGGACTAGGTGAGATCAGAGTCATAGCTGGTCAGCGGTTGATAACTGTTGCGTGTGGTTGTTGTCATTTTTGTTACTATCCTTCACCCATTTACACTACCTGCCAGGCCGCCACAGCCATTTGAGTCTAGACTGAATTAGACTGGGCCCCTGAGGTCAAGGATCTGGTGTCTTCGTATTTGCGTTGGCTGCCATTCCAGTACCGGACACCCAGTGGATGTGACCAGCGAGCCTGTGTTTTGTGGCTGAATGAGTGAGTTGGGAGCCTAGGAAGAGTAGGGGGCAGTGTAGCTCAGGGATCTGGCTTGGCTGCTCTCAAATCCCTGCTCTCCCCTGATTAGTTCTTTAGCGTAGGTGCACCTCAATGTCCTTACCTGTACAACAGGCATAATAATAGTGTCTGCCACTATTGGTGGTTAAGGGTGGCTAAGGGCTGTGTGGGAGGCGGTGGGAGTCACTTGGCTTAGCCCATACAGCGTCCTCGGTGGGGTGTTGGTGTCATCATTCGATGTTCATTCTTCCCTGTGGTTGTAACTCCACTTTTTTCTTCCCTGTCTTTACTCTTCTTGCTTTCTCTCTGTTCCTCTGTGTTCAGAGTTTCACTTTGGGGACTGCAGCAGTCAGGATATTTTCAGTTGCACATAATAGATAGCCCCATTCAGCTAGCTTAAGCAGTGGAGGGGAGATGTGGCTGGGATAGAGGGAAAAGCTGGCGTGGGGCAGATGCCGGCTGTCTCTCCTCTGTGAGGTGCTAGGCTCTGTAGTCCTCGGTGAGTGGGCTTCCGTCTTAGACTGACTCCCCTGATGGTTACAGGATCGTCATGAAGGTTCAGTCAGGGTCGCTTGCCCCTGCCTGTGCCCATCGTGGGATCATGCTGATTGGCTCAGGACTAGTAGGACCCAGCCCTGGAGCTAAGGGCTTCCCTGACAAATTGCAGGTAACCAGTGGGAGATCTGACGTTCCTTCCTGAGCTGTGGTAGCTGGGTCAGAGGTGCTTTGTGGGCTCCTGGCTCCTCCTGGGCTGAGACCCCACGCAAGTCAGCAGACACACCTGGGCAGGCACCTTGGAGAGAGTGGTGCACCTTGGGTCATGTTGTTGATGCCACATATAGGATCAGGGAAGCTGGCATTAGTCAGAGTCACACCTCAGTAGAGCTGGAAGGTTAGAGCAGTCTCTTGAGATCAGAGAAAAACAGTCTGTCCCCATGAGGACTAGCGGCCATTCACTCTGTGCGTGTGTGCGCATGCTCTGGGGATTGATGCTCCAGGAGTCCCTGAGGCTCCTGAGCAGGATCAACTGCCCCAGGTCTGTGGTCCTTGGATTGACAGAGAGCAGCCTCGGCGACAGCTTGGGGATGGAGACTGCCTTGTACTCCACACACTTCTCCAGAGAGCCCAGCTGCGTGAGGAAGGCAGGTAGGGCTCACTGAACACAGGTAGGCAGACTTGTGTGAGACCCCCGAGTGCTGCTCTTAGAGTCGGGGAAACTCAGGAATAGGATAGCTTCTGAATCTTTGCAAGGACTCTGTAACTGGGTGAGTGCGCGTGCGTGTGGCTTCCAGACGCAGCCAACTTGGTGGGTTTTGGCGGCAGGCTACAGGATGTTGGATTGCATCCTGATTGTGTCACCCTTGGAAGAAGAGGATGAATAAACACATAGCCTTCTCTGCAAGCACAGCACGCCTTAAATTTTGGAGATTTTCAGTCTCGCCCGAAAAGAAAAAAGCTCTAGACTAACAGCTCTGTCCTCTATTTGATCCTCAAGCTGCCATGAGCAGGTGGGACAGAGCTGGAATAATGAAGCTCTGTGTAAGGTGGGCAGATGCGCCTGATGCTCTGGCAGTGAAGCCGTGCTCAGTGATTTATAAATGGTAGTGTTGTCTAGCACGTCGGCCATGGTGGTGGGAGGGTGGGAAGAATGGGAACACTGACCTCCCCCAGGCTGCGGCCCACTTTGAGGAGCTCATGGAAGAGTTGAAAGTCACGATACATATCAGGACAGCTAATAGTGCGAGGAAATGGGGTCACAGCCAAGTGAGGGCTCTGCAGTGGGAGTACTTAGGGGCCAGGTCAGGGCAGGTGCCAGGGAAAAGGTAGTGAGCTCCAGAGCCCAGGGAGGGGGCCGAGTTTGAAAAGTATATCCAGAGATAACCAGCTGTGCAGGAACTGAGCCTGGGAAAAAGGCCTCAGATGGTAAAGGCCTGGCATGCCATGCTGGGGAGTTTGGACCTGACCCAGCACATGCTATGCTCCATTTACTGGTTTTGCTGTAGCCACCAGTGAGAGGAAGCTGCCTTTGGGGCCTCTTTGTTGTTATGTTTGCAGCCCTGGGGGGCCTGGACTTGATTGGGAAGGTTGTGACTCAGTTCCCTGGGTCTAGGGGACTCCAGCTTTGAGAGCAGAGACTCTGTGGAAGAGGGTCATTGAAGAGAAGAGTTTAGGGGTAACTCTGACTTGTTTGACCGGGTAGCACAGCTTCCCCAAGGGGCCATGTGAGGTCTAGGCTGCCCATGTGCACACTTGGGAGTCTTTGATACAGGGATACATCATGATTGAGCTGGGGAAAGGGCTTGGGAAAAGGGCAGGGGGACTTAGTTAATGAAGAGGAGGGGGGTGGGTTTGAGTGTTGAGGGTCTCTGGTTGGGAGGAAAGAATGGTTGGAGGGTTCAGGCTGAGATAACAGGCTGTAGCTCCAGAGAGGCTGAGGGACCGCAGATGCTCCAGAGACCCCTGCGCTGGAGGGCAGGCAGCCAGGGCCCTTCTGGCTGGTCCTCAGCTCCCTCTGCCCCCTGGGCCTGCACCCACATAAGGGCTGCCACTGTCCTGATCTGTGCCCCTGGGGCTGTTTTCAGCTGGGCCTTTCCTCCCCTCTGAAGGTGTGGGCTGGATGGCAGGATGAGACTCAGATCCATCATTCTGCCCTGTCCTTGCTCTGTCTGGCTGGCAGTCAGGGCAGAAGGGTTAGGGGACAGAGGAGGTGTGTTTCTGCCCTACACGGAGCTGCCTGGGGTCTGCCCTCGAGGGGACCAGACCCAGGAATGCCTGGGAGCCTTCCCTCAGGGCAGCATTCCACCCCCCATTCCCAGGGAAGCAGAGAATCCACACAACTTGGAGCCTGACCTTGACCCTGTGCTTAAGGTCATGCTGGGTCTTTTTATAGTGCTGTGGGCTGGCTCAGTGACCCCTGCTCGCTCAGGACCTGCTGCCTGCCTCTCTGGGCAGGCCTCCACATTCTCACCCAGAATCCTCTAAGCAACCACGACTGGGACGGGGCTGGGAGGGGGACATGAGCCAGAGCCTGGGAGTCCCTAGAGAGTACCGCTGAGGCCTTGGACTCAGGATGCCCCAGAGACTGCTCCTGAGACCCAGTAGTGGGTCTGAGTGAGTGCTGGCTCCTTTAGCAGGGCTCATGTGTGCATTCCATGCTTGGGTGCATGAGAAGCAAGGGGTGCCCATGGAGGAATGTGAGCCCAACTGATGGGAGAGCCCCCCAACAGTGTGAGTGTGAGCGGGTCAAGCCAGACCTGCCCCTGTCTGCATCCTGCTTCAGCAGGAGAGGGCTACAGGAACATGCACATCCTCAGATCTTGGCCTTTTGAAATCTTTAAGATCTAGGGACCATTTGGGGCCTCCAGGTGAGCCCTTCGGGCAGAAGCCTTGGACCTGGGGCCTTCTGCCAGGAGACACCTCCGGCTCAGGCATCCCTTGCCAGTCCAGTAGACGCAGAGCCCCACGTAAAGTCATGGGTTCTGAGGCCCATGGGGCTCCCTGTGTGGAAACTTGGCCTGGAGTTGGAGCTCCAGTGCACTCACGATGTGTCCTGAGATTTGCTGAGATCTGAGACAAGTTTGAGGGGTGTATTAGCCTCCCCTCTTCTCAACCCCTCTTCCCCAGTGGGCTCACTGCATCTCTCTTTTCTCTTTGCAGAATGCAGAGCCAGAGCCCAGGAGCCTCTCCCTGGGTGGTCATGTGGGTTTCGATAGCCTCCCCGACCAGCTGGTCAGCAAGTCGGTCACTCAGGGCTTCAGCTTCAACATCCTCTGTGTGGGTGAGTGTCATGCCTGGCCAGGGAACAGCCTCCACTGAGGACAAACGAAGGCTTCCTGGGAGATGAGATGCCGCTGTCCTGACTACCTGTTGAGCTGCAAGGGGACCTCCCAGGCAGAGTGACACTTTGGGGCTCAGGATGAGGCTTTGGTGTGTGTCTCTGCCAGGGTCAAGGATAGAGTTGGAGCCAGGGCCTGACTCAGTTGCCATGAAGAATAAACAGGATTAGGTACCTGAAAGTGCTTTGTAAACTAAGGGTATTTATCACAGTGGTTGGGATCCATTTGTTTGTTTTAAAAACATGTATTGTTGTTCTTACCATGTGCCAAGGACACTGGTAAACCAGACTCTGTCTCCATTACATTGTCATGTAGTAAAAGCTCCGGCTCTAAACAAATACACCCCCAACAGGGAGGCTCTGGAAGGTTCCATGTGCCCCAGGGCACAAAGAGTTCTGCCAGACCCTCCACAGGTGCTCTGGGAACCCCTTGGAAGGCAACCTCTCCTGAGCCTCCTCCCTCCCCATTTAAAGCTTCATGGGGTTGAGGCCACCCGTGACAGGTGGGCTGAGCCACTCGTGCCTTTAGACCTCGGTCCTGCTGGCCCCATGGCCCAGGAGGAATGGCCTGCAGAGCAGGTGACCAGGTCCCATTGAGGCCAGTGTCCGCTGATGTCTCCCAGCTGCCTGGCTCTGCTTCTTCCGCACTCCCGGCAGAAACATCTTACACAACCCACATAGCCACATCTTAATGTCCAAGCCAGCCTTTTGGCTCTTCCTTCCACATGTTATTTCTGAGGCCACTAAGAAGGGATGGTTCTTGGGGTTAGGGACAGTGAGGGATGGAGTGGGAGGCCTGCCTCTCTCTTGTGTGGAGACCAAGGGTGCCTGAGCCCCTCCTGGCCTAGCTAGGAGCCAGGACAGCTCCAGTTCCAGTCTGTGACAGTCCCTCTGCCCACTCCCCGCTCCCCCAGGGGAGACTGGCATTGGCAAGTCCACACTGATGAACACACTCTTCAACACGACTTTTGAGACCGAGGAAGCCAGTCACCATGAGGAGTGTGTGCGCCTGCGGCCCCAGACTTACGACCTCCAAGAGAGCAACGTGCAGCTCAAGCTGACCATCGTGGATGCCGTGGGCTTTGGAGATCAGATCAATAAGGATGAGAGGCAAGAGGCAGGAAGGGCGGTGTCTTCCCCGTCCCTCCATGTGGGCCGTGGTTCTAACACTCTGCCCTAGCGCTCCGCACTCCTTGCTGCCCCCAGACAAGTAACCAGCCCGCACTCCATGCGGTCCATGGGAGGGCTGCCTGGAGAATATCTAAGGTCCTGAGGACCCCGTGGGGGACCAGGAGAAGGGGTCAGCCACCTGTACCCAGGCAGGAATCCCCAGGTAGAAGCTGTTTGTTCTCATAGAGAGAAGGCTGGTGGGCAGCTTGGCTGGGCTCCGGGCCCTGGGCCGTGGCCCGGCTGTCTGCCTCCCTGTGATGGAGCTGTCTGTAGTTACAGGCCCATAGTCGACTATATCGATGCGCAGTTTGAAAACTACCTGCAGGAGGAGCTGAAGATCCGCCGTTCGCTCTTCGACTACCATGACACGAGGATCCATGTCTGCCTCTACTTCATCACACCCACGGGGCACTCCCTCAAGTCGCTGGATCTGGTGACCATGAAGAAACTGGACAGCAAGGTGTGGCCCCCTTCCAACTGATTCTGTGGGTGCCCTGTCCTCAACAGAGACGGGGCACAGTGGCTGCATGCGACTGTCCACTACAGTCCCCAGGGGCTCCGCTGGTTGGGGGCTTGCAGGCAGCTCCCTTGGCTTGGTTCTCTTGGTATCTTCTCTTGTGTCTGTCTCTATGGCTCCAGCCGGTCCCCGTTGATCTGACCTCTTCGGAGCTCTATCCTTGCCCCTGGCCCTGGGCACCTTCCCTCCAGCTGAGATTGATTCTTATTCTCAGCCTGGTGGCTCCTGGCATCCTCCCCATGCCCCTAGAGTTGCCTCCCCACCTTGCCTCTGTCCCTCTGTCCCTCTAACCTCCACTCCCCAGAGCGTGCCAATTCTCTGCTCTTTTTCTCTCAATTCCTAGTTCCTCTGCCCCCTTCACTTCCCCTGGCCTTCCTGCTGTGACTTTCCCTTGGGGTCCTCATGAGCCCAGCAGAGAGAGAAGAGTTAAGCCCCATAATTGGAGTAGGAATGAGGAGTGTGTATTAAAACGGCAACTGCATGGGAATGACAGGAACGATGGGGGGTTGTGGAGGGTGTACAGCCCCAGGGTCACCTGTCAGATCTCATGTGACTATGCTCCCCATCTCAGGAGTTAATTTTCACTGTGAACAATGAGATAACTTTGGCCTGGGAGATATTGAGGTCTTCCTGTGGCTAGTGCTAATGGGTCATCTAACTTGTGTAGGGGCATAGCCCCCTACTGCCACACCTATCAGGCCCCATACTGGCTAAGACCTTCAGAACACTCTGGGTCAAAGCTGAGTATGCCCACAGGACACATTTGGGGCTGGATGGAGGTTGAGCAGAGCAGGGAGGGGCTGTAAGAAGCACTGCAACCAATTGTCACGACCTGTCAGAATGGTCCCACCTGACTGGATTCAGGCTGGGACTCCACTGGGGAGCTTTGGGAGAAGCTCCATCTCTTTGGCTTCCTGCCCCTCTGCCCAGGGGCGTGACCTGAGATGGGCTATCCACAGTCGGGGAGCAACTCACCCCTGACCCTCTCCACAATCCTGGCAGGTGAACATTATTCCCATCATTGCCAAAGCTGACACCATCTCCAAGAGTGAGCTCCACAAGTTCAAGATCAAGATCATGGGTGAGCTGGTCAGCAATGGGGTCCAGATCTACCAGTTTCCCACAGATGACGAAGCTGTTGCCGAGATTAACGCAGTCATGAACGTGAGCATTGGGCAAGGGTCTGAGGGCTCTGGGGTTGGAGGGCTTGGAGCTAGCCCCCTGGCCACTGTCTTTTCCTTGGGTTCTAGCCTTAACTCTCCAGGAAAGATGGCTGGGCACCTGGAGTTGGCCAGTCCTGAATCCTCTGGACAGGGGATGGGAAGAATTGGGTATTGGGCTGGTCCTGGCGCTTCTCCAGGTTTAAGTACCCCAAGGTATGAACCCAAGGCAGGGACCTGAAACCTGCAGGATTGAGCAGGCAGGATGCCCGGACTTGGGAACCTAGAAGGGAGGTCCACAGGTCTTTTGAGGGAGCTTCTTTCTACTGGCTCCTGAGGAGCTCAGGGGCTGAAAGAATACCCTATAACAAGAGGAACAGGGTTGTAGGTTCAGCCCACTCCCTTGTTTGGAGGTCCTAGGATAATTCTCTAAAGGAGAGCCCGAAAGTGAGCATCTGGCCCTGCCTTGTTCAGGTCTGAGCAACCCCTCCCTGGGGCCCAGGGGCAGCGAGGGTGGGTCTGTCCATGAGCCCACGTCTGCTCAGTGCTCACATACACTTGGGCCCCTTTCCAGGCACACCTGCCCTTTGCCGTGGTGGGCAGCACCGAGGAGGTGAAGGTGGGGAACAAACTGGTGCGAGCGCGACAGTACCCTTGGGGAGTGGTGCAGGGTGAGTGTGGTGGTGAGAGCACAGCCCTGGCTGGCAGCCTGGCCTCAGCCCCCTGTCCTCCGTCCTCCCCGTGACCATCTGCTGCCTGTCTTGCCTCTGGGGTCAGCCTCTAACACCCACCGCTGCCCTGCACCCTGTCCCCTCCGTGCTGGTGGCCGGGTCCCTGTCTGATGCCCGCGTGCCCTCCACTTCCAGTGGAGAACGAGAATCACTGCGACTTCGTGAAGCTCCGGGAGATGTTGATCCGGGTGAACATGGAGGACCTCCGCGAGCAGACACACAGTCGGCACTATGAGCTCTACCGGCGCTGCAAATTGGAGGAGATGGGCTTCCAGGACAGTGATGGTGACAGCCAGCCTTTCAGGTGACAGCCTGTCTCCCCAGCCACAACCAGACTTGCCATGCCAGCATCTGTTTCTAGGGGCTTGTGAGCCAGGAGGGGAGAGGCTGTTGGAACAGTAGCATCAACCCCTGACCCCCATGTGTCCACGTGATTCCACCCCTCTGGCTCTGCCCAACCCCATCCCACCATGGTCCCCTCCTTGGCCTCTTCTCTCTGGGTCTCTACAGCCTCCAGGAAACATACGAGGCCAAGAGGAAGGAGTTCCTGAGCGAGCTCCAGAGGAAGGAGGAAGAGATGAGGCAGATGTTTGTCAACAAAGTGAAGGAGACGGAGCTGGAACTGAAGGAGAAGGAGAGAGAGGTGCGTGCTGGGCTCGGGGTTGTGTGTGGCCAGGCCAGGTTGGGGAGGGCCTAGGCTCCCTTGGGGCCCACACAGAGCCGGCCTCCACACCTTCTGCTCCCAGCTCCACGAGAAATTCGAGCACCTCAAGCGGGTGCACCAGGAGGAGAAGCGCAAGGTGGAGGAGAAGCGCCGGGAACTGGAGGAGGAGACCAACGCCTTCAACCGCAGGAAGGCAGCAGTGGAGGCCCTGCAGACTCAGGCCCTGCACGCCACCTCGCAGCAGCCTCTGAGGAAGGACAAGGACAAGAAGAAGTAGGTGGTGGGCTCCCTGCCCCGCGCTGGCTCGCTCTCTCTTGCTCTTACTCATTCTTGCTGGCTCACCATTTTGCTGTCTCCTTTCACTTGCTCTCCCACCTCATTCTTGCTCACCTTTCTTCTTTCAGTGGTGATCTTCACATCTTCAGATATCAAGCGTTCATGCCCACTCTTGTGTTTGTGCACGAGTGGCTCCTCTCCCCACTCTTCTACCCCACACCCTGTTTTTTCTCTATCTCTTTTTCTCTTTCTCCTGCAGCCCCCTCAAGAGCTGGGTGGAGAAGGCTGGGCCACACAGGCAGGGAGTGACCCCTGAGAGGATCCTAGGGTCTCAGGGAAGGTCCATCAGGCCAGGAGATGGTCAGGGCCTGGGAATGTCAGCATTTTCCAGACACATTCCAAAAGCTCCTGTGGTTTCTGCTTAGATAGCCGTGGTGCCTCCCCCTCAGTCCTGAGGCTGTGGACGTGGTTTCCATTTCGGCAGGTGGGTGGTGACTGAGGGCAGTGGAGACCTGAGCTCAGCCAGCACTGAGCCGCAGACACTGTGGTCACAGCCTGCTGAAGGAAGGACAGCAGCTCCCTGGAGGGGCTGTGTGAGTCCTGCTGAAGCGAGGCGCTGCCCCTCAAGTAGAGGCTGGAGCTGTTCCTCAGCCTCAGAGTGTAGCCTCAGAGGAGAGAGAGCGATGGGGGGAGAGGAGGAGGCTTTTCCCAGCCTCTGGGAGTGCAGTTAACTTTGGCAAGGTGGGGGCTGGTCTAAGTCTCTTCTCCTTGACATAGCCTGTTTCCATGCTCACAGCTGGATCCCAGATGCCCTGGCTCTGGGTGGGGGTGGGGGGGTGCCTCCCTCCCCTGCCCCACTTCATTCAGTGTCCCCCAGGGCATCTCTCCATGGGGATCCTGTCTGCCCCTGCTTCTCCCTGCCCCTGGTCTGTATCCAGTACCTTCTTTCTCTTGCCAGCCTGGAAACTAAGCAGGTATACGCACCTTGGCCCTCACTCTTATTCTCTTGGAATTCCATTTCCTCCTTGAATGTTTGGGAATGTGTGTGTTCAGGCTGTTCCTTCCTTGGTGGCAGTGGAGCCTTGTGATTAGGGCCAGGCAGTGCATAGCTAACTGTGGCCCTGGGGTGCTGCTTGTGGCGTTGGCCCTCCCCCTGCCCCCCAGTATTGCGTTCCCTAATGCTGCACACATGCATGACACATGTACACTGTCTCACTCTCTCTTTTCCTGTGACATACACAGATCCAGGCATATCTCCACTAACACACACAGTCTCCGAGACACACAGGCACAGAGGTACAGACACATCGAAGTTTTAAAAGCTTCTCCCTGGGGAAGACCAGGGGGACAGAACCAGCCATTTAGGAACTGGATGCCAATTCTCGTTCCTGAGGCCTGTCTTCTGCTTTGGGACAGACCCTGTAGTTTCCTCCATCCTGCTGACTGCACCCCCCCCCCGCCCTGCCCCCAGCCGTTGGCCCTGCTGCAGCAGATAAGCCCCTGCTGGTCCCCAGCTCCACATGACCCTCAACCTTGTACATTTCCCTTCTGCTTTGCATTTGCTTCCAGCCCTGGTGCCTGTCTCGGTCTTAGTGAGCTTGGTGAGCATGCAGGCTCTGTGAATTGCAACCCATGTGGATTTTGAGTTGGTAGCTCAGAAATCTGGTTTCTCCTGGGAAGCGGTGTGCTATCCATGACCCAGTGCTGGCTCCCAAAGAAACTTTGCCTTGCTCCCTGCCAGCTTAGCCCAGGCCATTTTGTTTTTTTATTTGTTTTTCTTAAAAAAAAAAAAAAGGCAGGCAGAGTCCCCTAGGAAGTAAGCTATGGAGAAACCACTCAAAAGCAGCTCAAGGACCTGTGGCCAGGTCAAGGTGTTGAGGGCCAGTGGGGGTGGGGTGCAGGCTGGCTGCAGGGGCACCAGGCCAATTCAGGGTGGGGCTCATCACTGATGTCAGGCCTCCCTGCTTTTTTTCATGTGACGTGGGCCTGGAGAACAGGTCTTTTCTGTTTGCTGGACATTCCAGAAAGCTTCAGTCAGTTTGGCCTCTGGGAGAGAGCCCTCTTCTCCCATGCTGGCCTTTCGGAGGCCAGGAGTGGGGTGGGTGGGCTGGCTGGAAGCACCCCTTCACTCTGCCCTGGTTGGGATGGGTCAGGAGTACATTTGGAGGGGGGATGTTGTTTTGTGACCATTTAGTTGAATGGCTTTGATTGTACTTATTCTTCAAATTTTAATTCATTTTTACAAAATTACTTCCCAATCAGATCTTGACCCCTCAGCCTGGGATGCTATAAACTGAAGTGAATTCTCTGCTTTGCTCGTCACAAGTGCCAAACTGACTGTCCTTTCCCAGTGTTCATCTTGCTGTCTTTTGCTTCTTTTTGATTTGGTCGTCTGTGTATCTTTTAATGTGTCTGTTTTTGTTCTGTTTGTTTTATTTTTATTTTTCAGTTAACGCACGCACAGACTTACATGTCAAGAGCGGACTTTAGACTTTCATGTGTTAAGTTGCTTGAGTTACACCTTGTGACCCTTCTCCCATATCATGGTGTGAGGACGGACTGGGAGCCGGTACAGACTCCAGTGTTTACAGCCCTGCCTTGTCCCCCACCCCTGCCCCCCGGGCTGCCCAGGCCTGGCGGGCTACCCTCTCTATGCAAACTTGTTAAAGCCATGAATGCTGGAACCCAAAACTGATGAGGTTTATTTTTTTCAGAGCCAGTGGCTGGTCTTCCATTTACAGTGTCACTATTCCTTGACGGAGCAGTTTTGTGCCGCTCTAGCAGAGGCCCCAGCCGGCGATGCTCGGCCTAATTGTTCAGCGTCAAGATGGCAACTCATGCAGTGCCCTAGGTGTGGCCACGTGGTGTGGTATACATGCTGCAGAATTCCCCCCACTCCCCTTCATTTTAATTTTTCTAACCTAGAGCTTAATTTCAATAATAACTTTTAAAGCACTCCTAAATTTTTATTTTGGCACGAGCGTAAAGACAAATAATACCCCCTCCCGTTATTTTCGTAAGTAACACAGATTCCCTGATTTTTAAAAACTAAAAATATCTCTAAACCTTTCTTATGTATAAAGTATCCCTATAAAATATAGGGAGAGGTGGGTAATAAACGTCCTGTAATGACAGTGTTTGGGATTTCTTTACGAATGAAAGTGGATCATGAAAAAGGCCACGTTCAGTGTTGTTACTGTGAATGTAAATGGAACAGCAGCCCGAAGCAGTTATCTCTGTGTCCCCCCTCCCCGCCGAGGTGCTACCTGTGAACAGGGACCAACCCCATGTGTGCATGTTAAGTGTTTGACTCTTAATTAACTAAGACCGCCACTACCGCGCCCCCCCCCACCTGCCCCCCAACTCCTGCCCCCAGCCCAACCCTGCATATTCCAAATGCAGAGTGCCCAGGGGGAACAGGTTTCTCTCTGGGTCATTCTTTCCTTTTTCCTGGCTGAGTTGCAGGGAAAGAGATGAAGGTGCCTGATGTATGTAAACAGTTAAGAAAAAAAACTACCAGCAGAGGAGCTTTTTCCCTTTCAGCTGCAATCTTAAAAGAGAACCTTCTAAGAAAGTAGAGCATTCTTCTATGTTCCTGTTGGTTGGCAAGCCACTGAAACTATCAGGGTTGAAAGTATGGCCTGATACTATGGGACATAAAAAATTAATAGATGAAAGGAAGGATTCCACTTAATGTTGATCAGGCACTGTGCTGGGCACAGGCTACCCAGAGTACTGCACAGCTCTGCCCTCAAGGAGCTCACAGTCTAGTGCACTCTCTAGTTGGAAGCCTTAGGAAGCTGTGCTAATACATTGTTGGATTGGCGGTTTGTGTTTTTATGTCCTTCATTTTCTTTCCCATTATCGTTTCCCTCTTCCTGCCTTGGCTTGCTTTACTGATTTCCAAGGCTAGGTTCTGGCTCCCTCCTGCCGTTCTCAGATCATGTTCCATTCAGAGAGGGGTGGAGGGTGAGCTGTATGTATCCACTGAGGTATGACCAGGAAAAGGTGGTCTTTTTCACTTCACCTGGAGCAGAGCAGGTTTTGTGGAGACTCAAAGTGAAAATTCTCCAAAGTTATTCCATGACCACGGGTGGATACAGATTTTTGAGGGGCTCAAACTACTCGAGAAGCCTTCTTAAGAGAACATGAGTATAAAATCAGGTACAGGGCCTTGGAAGAGGCCCTGAGAATTAAGTTTTATTAGCTTTAGAGTAAACCCACTTGTGGTTGTAACTGGTAACTGATGCTTCAGTGTGGGTATCTAAAAAGGTAAATCAGCATATCTAAGGCAGATGTGGACTGCAAGTGACTTAACTCTAGGGTCATTATGTGTCTGAAAGTGTATTCAGTTGGATGGAAGTATGACCTTTAAGATAGCCTCTGTCAGCTAGTGTATTTCTGAAGATGAGGCTCAATGACCCAGCAGGTTCAGTTATGTAAGAAATGAGGACTCCTGGCCAATCTGGGGACTCTTAGAGTGGTCAGATCCTGCTGCCCATCTACCCCCACCTGCATATGGGCTGCACCCAGGGCATACTTGGGTGGCCAGAATTGTGGCTGGTTACCTGCCTGCAGGCCCCAGGCTTCCAAGAATCTCGGGGCAGACCTGTCCTTGTTACATTTTCTGGGGTCTGGGCTGCCTCCACAGGACCCTCTGACTTTAGTGAGCCTCACTGCACTTTTCTCTCATGCTGTTTGTATTTAGAATTTTGTCATTTTAGCTGAGACCAAATTAATCTTTGGTGCACAAGGTGAGCTTAAAAACTTACCACTCATTGTTTAACAAGCTACCCACCTCATGGAATGTGACCCCTGTCTGCAGGATCTGATTTTCCCCTCATTTTCTGTCTCCGTATCATCCGTTGGCATTGTTAGGGCTGTCAGCAGGATCACTGGCATTTACTATCATGTCTTTCATGAACCAAGTTGATTTTGGGTAGGATCACCATATAATTTATTGCCCAAGCTGAGACTTTTGAGAGTGAAAGGAGATTTTGCCAAGTCGACGAGCATAAGCCATGATTGTCTCAGGCAAACTGGGAGATATGGTCACCCGAATTATGGGTAACCTGAGTCCAGGTGGTCTGTACTTGTGCAGACCGACTCCATACATGTTGTGTGTGTCTTTGTGTGGGTTCCCTGTTAAGTGGGGCTCCTGTTACTGGATAAGAGGCCCAAGGGAAGTGTGGCTTGCTAGTCTGTTACGTTAACATGCTTTTCTAAAACTGCTTCACTTGTTAATTCATTTATTCCTTCATTCATTGACTGTTTTTGTTCCTTTCCATTCACTTTGTACTCATTTTTTTCATTAAATTTTGCATTTATTTTGAGTTTTTGTGGTGTCTTTTTTGAGCAGTAGCTTTTCTGATTTAATGTTTCCTCTATTAATCTGCTACAGCTGTGGTAAAATACAGCTTGTTTTTTTCATCAACTTTGTGGGGTTGATCAGCTTCTATAGGAGTTATGTTTTAATAGTGAATCCTGCCATGGGCATCTGTGAAAGGCTCTTGAATGGGTGTGGGATGGAGGCAAGATAGGAAAGAGAAGTTGCAGCCTGTGGTCAAAGGATCTTTATCAGACAAGACACGAGAGAAGGCAGATCCTGCCCTTGAAAAGTTTACATCCTTGTGGAGGAGGCTTGTCATAGAATAACTAACATTTGAGTTCTTACTGTGTGCTAGTCATTGTTCTAAAGTGTATTTACATGTATTAATTCCTCTAATCTTCACAATAATCCTATGATTAGGTACCATTTTCTCCTTTTTATAGGCAAGGCACAGAGAGGTTAAGTAATTACCCAAGGTCACACAGCTCATAACTGGAGCAATTGAGGTTTAAGTATTGCTATTCTGGAGCCTTATCCCTGTGCAGTTTGACAGTGTAGGTTGGTGGACCTAAGGTTTTGCTGAGGTGGGATGCTGTAGTAAGTAGGCAAATATCTGGTTGAAGAAGGGATGGCAATCTCCAGGGCCCATTTGTCGAGGAGCTTTCTCTGTTGGACACTAGGCTAATCTCCGGGAAGACCAAAATGAGGAGATGGAGGACTAAGCCCAGCAGGGAGACTGGCATGCTGGCCTCCCCAGTGAAGGTACAGCACCACTCTGCTCCTGGGCAGGCAGGTGCAGGGAGGCAGAGTCTTCACCAAGCTTTGAAGGATGAAGACTTTCCAGGAAGCCAGGGGAAATAGGGCCACCTTGGTAGAAGGAACTTGGCTCACCCAAATGAGGAGGTAATATTTGGACAAGTTTAAGATGTGTCTGTGATACTCATATACTGTGTTCTTCTCTTAGCCCATCCACCTCTGAGCCCTGTCCCATCTCTGTTTTCAGCAGTCACAGCCCTTTACCAATCTCTATGTAAATGGTGACAAATGGGAGATGGATCATGTCCTTATTTCTCCCTCCATAGTGAACCCCAGTCTCTAATCTGAAGTGGGACAGAAATTCCTAACTGCAGGGAAAAAATGTTAGAGGAGAGTAAGATAGAACTTAGGGCTCCAAGGCAAGCTTGAACAACATAAAAACTTAAAAACAAACAACAAAATCCCCTCACAAGTGGTACTTTGGCAATATGAAAGTTTGCTTCCCCAGAGAAGGGAATACTATTTACAGAAAGGTGAAGCAACAAGGCTGTCCCTTACCCCCACACTGTGGCTCACAGGTCTATCTTCTTCTTTTCCCAAGAGATGGAGTTGGTTTAGCTCTGGGGAATGAAGCTTACATCCAGAGCTACTTGGTTCGGGGTGGAGGGTGGGGTGTCCAGGTAATTCTTACCTGTTTTCTGAGGTCAGAGACAGCCTGAGTTGGCGTGGGCCCTCAGGATTAGCCTCTGTTCCACCAATGACAGTGCTGCTCACAGTGGAAGGAAGGAGGCAGGGGAAGCTGAGGCCCTGAGCAGCAGGGTGCCCCCCAGCACGTTCATTTGTGCTGGACTAGAGGACAGTTACTGATAGGGTTTGAGAGATTGCATTTCACGTGTGTTTGACTCTATCAAATCTCAATGCATGGTATCTAATACATGTAAAATAAGACACAGAAAGGATTGAAAGAAAGTCAAGTGTATTTGAAAATAAGCTCCAACAAGCAAATCTGTCTTAACCAGAGGCAGAGATTTGTGCTGACTACACTGCAGACACTAATACGGTATAGCTAGTATTGCACCTAGTAGCAGATCACCCTCCCCGTGGCTTAGCACATTTACAGAAAACTGTTCACTGTGGAAGGACTTCACAGATGACCTCTAAATGTGTGGCCCAGTCATTCACATCCCCAGAACTACTTCCACAGTCCCAGCTGGACTCCACTGCCTAGAGAATGGCTCATAGTGTCAGCTCCCCAGGGGCAGCTGGCTTCTCCCTCACCGCTAGTGGTCTCTCCCTCCTCCCTGCAGTAGTGGGAGCTCAGCCTCAGGACCTGCTCATCTCAACCAAAACTCGGGGAGCTGTGCCTTCCCAACACAAGGATCACCTTGAAGTGTCATTTTTTAAACACAAAAATTCCCCTAGTTAAGCCTGTAAACTAAGAGTAACCAAGCAGAAATATACCTAAAGCTTGATCTGGTTACTGCATATGAGATAAAGCACACTTTATGAATTGAGTTCTTACAAAGAAAAGACTTAGATGCTGGGCAAGTCAAGGTAAATCCCATTTCTGCAAAGGCGAGCAGAGCACTTGGGACTTGAAGCCTGCACATGCTCTTGGTACAGGCCTGGGAAGCTGAAAAGACCTGGCCAGTCCTGGCAGGTGGAGCAGCAGAAACTTGTCTGTCAGCACCAGCCTGGCCCTTCTGCCCTGAGCAAGGCCTGCCTCTGACCTCATAGTCCAGCTGTCTTATAGGCTGATACAGCCCTTGATGAGGAAGAAAAAGCAAGCTGCACTATGAGCATTTATTCCCTCTCCCTGGTTTCAGGCCCAGGGTCATGAGGGAGGCAGGAGTCTGAGTTTGATTTATCAGACTACCTTTCCCTTTAGGGACCCTGACCTGTCTTTTTGCCCCCTTGTTTTTTTTTTTCCCTTGAAGAATCAGGAGTGCTTTCTCAGTTGCTCTTTCAAGGCCTTCTTGCTTTCTTGTTGCAGGATCCCTAAAGCCTAGAATATAGAGGAGTCGAAGTCCAGCTTTGCCATTATGCTATAAAGGGCTCTGGGGTAGGGCACAGATGCTGGCAGTGAGCCAGAAAGTGTCTGTGCAGGAGGACGACTAAAGGCTTGCCAGTTGCTCCTTTACAAGTTCTTTGCAGCGGTTCCACTGCCTTATACCAACCTGTAATTAAAACAGAGTGGTCATCCTTGAGGTAGAACCATTTTACATTCTAAACAATGAGCAACCAAGTGCCAGAATGTTAGCATGGAGCAATTCCAGGAAGTTCCAACCACCCAACTTGAGACCATTAACCCCACCATCTCAGGGACACCCATCTTCAACCTCAGTAAAAACTCATTTTTCTAACTGCATTCCATCTTATGCTGTCCATCCTGAGTGGTTCTGACCTCCCAGCACCTACTTCATAGTACCTTGGTGCCTGTAAAGGGTAAAGGGTCTGAAATTTATACTCCCCAGTGTTAAGCTCAGTGTTGTTTTCTCCTGAGCGCAACATGTCCCCACATCCTCTTGACTACCAGGGCTGCCACTGAGATACGGCTTTGCTCATTGTCAGAGAAGCCCACTATGGTGAAGGGAACGTGTACCTAATACTCAAGTCCAGAGGATAGGTCGTGTGTGGAAAGCCTAGCCCTTAAGAGTCTTCAGAGTCATCACAGCCAGAGTATCTCCTGGAGCCCACAAGGGCCGAGAAGGGGCCATAGGTACCCTTTTGGGGGCAGAGTGCATCAGCTGAAGGGGCAAAACTGAGAGCCTGGTGTGGGGCAAAGTTGATGTCTACCTGTGCTTTCTTTAGCAGATCAGATATAGGAGTACAGCAGTCGGGCATGAGCCTCTCCAGCTCTAAGGTGATGATGACCAAGGCCAGTGTGGAACCCTTGAACTGCAGCAGCTGGTGGCCCGCCATACAGTGCTGCAGCTGCCTGGTCAGGGACGCGACGTGGAGGGAAGGATTCCTCTGAGGCATCAGCTCCTTCACGTGGGGCCAGCCCAGGACCACCAGGGCGTGGAACTGGAGACCGTGGTTTTTATGTTAGAACAGAAAACCCCATACTTTTCATAGATCAATGACCAAAAGTGCAAAAAAACAGTTTAAATTTTCATCAGGGAACATTAAATGTTGCCCAACCCTTTTCGTTCCCATCTATGGCCCCAGAAGGGGGTTGAGGCTTAATACCCACTGTGCGGCCAAACTGAGCTTCAACCCTGGTGAGAAAAAGACAGTCTGCTTTGTGACATAGTCGTTAAGAGCCTAAAGTACCCACTTGACAGTGTTTCACTTCTGAAAAACAGAAGCAGACAGTTCAAGATTAAGGTAGCAGAGAAGTTACTTATATGTGCTCGACATGAGAAGAAACGCTGCCTGGCCACAATGGTCAGTTTTTATAATGGTACAGCCCTTCATGATTTAATTGTCACACTTCATAACAGACCAAAACCCCATGACATTTCCATATTACATAATTTTGCCTTACTAACAGAATCCTATCCTTAAGGATGACCATCATTCTCTAACTAAAACAAATACAAACTAACATGACATTTTTAAGTGCCAGATCAATATGGTCTAAAGCCTCAGTAAGGATTGTGTGTAGGTGAATAAAGACAGCTAAGTGAATGTGTGTAAAGTGCAGCAAAAGCAGACAGATTTTTATGTACAGTATTCATAGAATGGAAAGTTAAATATTTTTGCAGTGTGTATTTAAAAGAGAAGCTCACCATAATAGTGCCGTCTAAATATCTTTGTAAAGTTAATGTCCTTTAGAAGCGGGAGTCTGGCGGAACCGTGTTGGATGTAAGATAATATTTTAACTCTGCCGTTATGTCGTGAGCCTTGTGGGTCACGTCACTGTGCTGCATGTGTAAGGACGTGTGCTTTGCCGTCCTATATTGTGAACAGCTGTTCCAAAGGCACAATGAGTCCAGGGTAGGCTCTGGAAGTTCCTCGTACTTACTGTGGACAGAAAGTCCAGCGGTGTCCCGATGTAGAGGTCCCAGTGCAGTTTGTCCAAAATAGCCAGCTCCATCCTGAGGAGCTCATTCGGGGAATAGCCAGAGCCATAATGCTTTATGAAGTCTTTAACATGTGGAATTAACTGTAAAAAGAAAATAAAAGAGGCCAAAGCCCTACACTATGTCATAGTAGCTTTTGTTTTCTTGTCACTGGGGACTGGGCATCCATGACCCTAGTAGGGTTGTCTTCCAGTGACCCACCACAGAAAACGCTTCTGAAAGAAAAACCAAACCAGATCTTGGCTATCTGTCAAGTCCCCAGGTAGTTGTGACAGTGTATAGTAAATGTCACGTGGTCATCTGCTGCCAACAGGTCTTGATCCCCAATGCACTCCAGCTCCTACCCAAAGGTGCTTTGGAGGCTGGGACTGTGCCGTCTCCCACATTCAGATGCAAGAACTCACTCAAAGCTTTCCAGCTATGGACTCTACCCATTCCTGGTTCCAATCACTACCATGATTGTTAGTCATAGAGAGAAGCAGGCCTTTGAGCTTCGTGGTCTGCATCAGACAGACTCACTGATAAAACCTCCCAGAACCAGGTAACACCACAGCTGCAAACACATTCCTTTCAGCCTTTATTGAAGGCAGTTCAGTTCTGGAAAAACTATGACTTTTTCCCAGAGAAATTATAAGGCTTGTCTATGAGTAAACATTCAAGTACCAAGTGCATTGAAGACTTGGTCCTACTCTTTTAGATAAACAAAGTATTATATAACTTTTAGGAGTAGTTCTTTTAAAGGTTATTTACGTGGTTCTTAGTTGAACAAAAGCATTTTTGCAGGACACACATTACATTCTAACAAACAGGGTTAAAATAGTTTTTATTGCAAGTTTGGAACTGGACACACCATGCCTTTTTCTGGCCCCTTGGACCCTGAGATCAGCCAAGGGGACCTTGTATAAATGGCAGTGCTTCCACAAAGGGGGAGAGGTTGGAAGGAGGGAGGGAGGGGAGAAGGAAGGGAGGGAGATTTGGGAAGGACACTGGGAGAGGATCTTCTCCTGAATAGAAGCCATAGCGAAACTGAGAAATTCAAGCAAGCCTGAAGCAATTACGGGGGCTTCTCTTCCACTCACTGCTTGTGGCCCTCGTGGCCCTCGTGGCCCTCGTGCCCCTCCCAGACGAGGGTCCCAGACTCCCTGAAGACCAGTTTCTTTGACACAGGCAAGTCCTCAAGTCTCAAGCAGCTTTCTTAGATGTAGTTTCTGGGGGGTGGCTATTACGCCAAATGGTCTGGGAGGCCACTTTCCTCTGCTTAGTGGGAGGTGGCATCTACCATCAACCAATGAGGCAAGATATATCTGCCAGGAGGTCAGGCTTCTGGCTTTGGTGGGCCAGGACAATTCAGCTGTTCTGTTTTCCCATTTGTGGGGTACCAGAATTCCCATGGCCCAGATCAGTAAAGAATCCTTCAGGAGGCCTAGGTTTTATCCCTGGGTTGGAAAGATCTCCTGGAGAAGGAAATCGCAGTCCACTCCAGTATCCTTGCCTAGGAAATTCCACAAAGGAGTGTGGCAGGCTATAGTCCATGGGGTCGCAAGAGGGACTCAGCGACTAAACCACCACCACCAGCGTCTGACAAGCCTGAGGAAGGGACAGCAGAGATCCTGGGAGGTGTGACTTTTCCAAAATGTCCGTTCCCAAGATCACAGACCTTTCAGGAAACTTGTGTTTCCAATGTTATACACCCTATACCTCAAAAGCAGCCATTAATGAGCTTCCAGGGATGCATACCTCCTCTTCTTCATTAGCTTTTGTAGCAAGCCTCAAGGAAGTAATTGTGACACAATGGAGTAAACGCTTTTTTATCTGCAGTATGGAAGAGACACATTTGAGAATATGAGTGCCAGAGACTAACCATAAAGCATCTGTGGTTTTTTTAAGAAATCGAGTTTTTTTTTTTTTTTTAAATTTTTAAAAAGGACATTGTATTTATTCGCAAGGAGTTTAGCCCATTTTTAGATGTGACCAGTGAAAACCTCCTGGTTTCAGAACCACAGGTGACTAGTCAATAGCCCTTTGTTAGAAGACTGACTGGAGGTGGGAAATACAGCATCATCTCAGGGAACACACAGGCTCCTCCTGGCCTCAGGCTGCGAGTACTGGTCCAGACAAGCACACCTGACCTCATAGCACATGAGAGTCCTTTCCCAGCTAGGTCCTCTCATGCTCCCCAAGTCGACCACTGATGGCCACACAACACTGAGCCAGACAGGTAAGGTGGTAGGATTTTCCAATTCCAGTTCTATTCTGGGAGTCACTGACTTAATTTATAATGTTGGGTTTGAGCACCTGGGGTGGCTCCTTTGTCAGGTAGCAACAGGAAACAAAGGTTAGTTTCCACACCCAACCATCTGTCACCATCCTCAACTCCCTTACCTTTACTGAAACAAGGAGGCGGCTGAAGATAGTGAGAGCCAGGCTAAAAGTGTTCTGAGAGAAGTCAAAGATGTTCTCCACTCTCAGGAGCCACAACACAACTTCTCTGAAGGCTTCGCAAATCTCCGCCTGCTGGAAGGAGGAGGTGGGGGAGAGCAGGGAAGGTCGTTGGTCTCAGCCCATCAGTGGCTGGACCAGAGGTGTTGTGAGAAGCCCCTTCACCCTAAAGAGCGGTCACATAAAAGTGTCTCTCTTGTCCAGATGTTCCCCCATTCAGACCCTCTCCTTCCTGCGCCCGTTTTTTGGGTCTTCAGCTGAATTCCCCAACTCAAACAAGCCCTCTTCCAAAGCCCTCTAGTGAAGCACCGTTTCAGTGAGAGAAGCTGAGGGGGACGCACCCGGGGAAGGTGCAGGCTCCAGGGAGCGGCTCACCTGGTCGCGGGTGCACGTGGAGCCCGGCCTCGTCCCGTGCGCGCGTGAGGGAGGGGGATGACCGTGCTTCCGGGAGGGCCCCGCGAGGGTACCCATACCTGGAGTTGGCCACCCCGCCACAGACGCGCCTCGCGGCCCTGGGCCTGCGTCAGGTAGGCGAGCAGCCAGCGCTGATCCGGGAAGTCTCCCCAGGTTTTCTGCATGAGCCTGGGCGGGCTGGGGACTGGGGGCTGCGTAGATGGTGCGGACGGCAGCCCCCCAGCTGCGGCGGGGTCGGGGCCTGCAGCTGGCCGAGCCCGCATTCCCGCCCGCACGGATCTGGTCCACGAAGGCACGGGGAGCCGGAGCGCATCGCGCAGGCACGCCTCCGAGAAACTTTTCCGGATCGCGGCGGGGAGAGAGACGTTCCACGGCCGCGTGGGGAAAGGACAGCGATGGGCCATTTCGCCTAGACTTTCGTCCGAACTCTTACCTGGACGCCGGGAGGATCTCACCTCCGAGGCCGAGTTCTGCGGCGCATGCCGCCCTCCGGAAGCCATGGCTGCGTCAGATCCTGGGTCTGGGTCCCGGCTAGGCTCGGCGTTTTCTACCCCAGCGTCAGTGACTTGCAGCTGGGGAGGCCACGAGGCGGGGCGGGGAGGGGCGGGGCGGGCTCAGCTGGCCCACCCCCAACCCCTGGCCCTGGGACTGTCCTGGCGCGCGGGGGCCCGCTCTCCCAGCCCTTGGTTCCCGAGGTGAGGGGCGCGGGCCTGGGACGCGGCGGAAGGGAGAGCGAGCAGGTGGGTGAAGGATCCTCTGTATTCTTACTCCACCCCGCGCCCACCCACTGAACCCCTCTTCCGCACCTAAAGCCCTAGCCCCAGGGGCAGAGTCCCCAGCCCGGCTGGTGAGCAAGCCGCCCTGGAGAAGGTTATTGAAGGCTGCAAGGGTTACGCGCTGGAACATTAACAGTGAATAGAAGAGACGTGGAACTTATATTCTAGTCAGGAAAGAGGAAAGCTTGAGTAGAACATATGAAAATCCCAGCAATTCCACTCCTAGATAGATATCCAACAGAAATGCATATGTGAACCTACATGTTCACAGAAGCACTATTTGTAGTAGCCCTAAATGTCCAACCCAAATGTCCATCAATAGTTGAATGGGATAAACAAATTGTGGTATAGTCACACGATATAGGGGATACTATACCACATTGAAAAAGAATGAACTGCTGCACCCGATAAGGAAGAATCTTACAAACATAATATTGAATGTCAGAAGACAGATAAAAAAGAATTCATACTGTATGATTTCACTTATAAAAAGCATAAAGAAGGGATCTATAATGTTAGAGTTAAGATAGTGGTTACCCTTGGGGGATATGTGTGTATGCTACAGAAAACTACAGAACATTACTGGAAGAAATTAAAGAAGATCTAAATAAATGGAGAGACATTCCATGTTTATGAACTGAAAGATTTAAATTATTAAAATACCAATAGTCCCAGAACTGTCTATCAATTCAACATAATCCCTGTTAAGTTTCTAGCTGTCTTTTTGATTCCTGTAGCATATCATATACAAAAATAACTGAAAATAGATCATAGATCTAAACTAACAAGGTGTTTTAAAAATTCCTATGAACAACCAAGGAATTCAGAATGACCAAAACTACCTTGAAAAAGCAGATAGATAGGCTTTGTAGTATCTAATTTCAAAACTTACTACAAGCCTATGGTAATCAAGACAATATAGTATTGGATGGACATATAGATCCATGGAATTGAATTGAGAATCTGGAAATCAACCCTCATATTTATGACCAATTGTTATTTGCCCAGGTTGCTACAATAATTCAATGGGGGAAAGAAGATTCTTTTTAGCAAATGGTGATAGGACAGATGAATATTCACACGCAGAAGAATGAAACTGGATTCCAATAACATATCATATACAAAAACAACTCAAAATAGATCATAGATCTAAAGGTAAGAGCTAAAACTAGAAAACTGTTAAAAAAGAAAATCTTCATGTCTTGAGTTAGCAAGTGGTTTCTTAGATTTGCACCAAATGTACAAGAAAATAAACAACAAAAGAAAATTTTGGACTTGATCAAAATTTAAAACTTTGGTGCTTCAAAGAGCAGCATCCAGTAATTCAAAAGACAACACGCATAATAGGAGAAAGCACATGTATATCATATATCTGAAAAGAGACTTGTATTTAGAATATTTAAAGAATTCTTACAACTTAATAATGAAAAGGGCAAATAATTGATTAGACATGTCTCTGAAGGAGATATTCAGATGGTCAAAACGTGTGAAATCATGTTCAACATTACTAATCATCAAGGAAGTACAAATAGAAGCTACAATGTGATGCTATTTTACATCAGCAGGATGGCCATAATAAGCAACTCAAGACAACTGCAGGTGGTGGCAAGGATGTAGAGAAAATTGTAAACCTCATACACTGCTGGTGGGAATGGAAATCCTCTTACATTGCTGGTGGTGTAGCCACTTTGGAAAACAACTTGATAGTTCCTCAAAATGTTAAACATTAGAGTTACTAAATGATCCATCAATTCCACTTGTAGTATATACCCAAGAGAAATGAAACATGTTCACAAAAACTTTTAGCAGCATTATCCATAGTACCAAAAAGTAGAGGCAACCCAAATGTTTATCAACTGATAAATAAATAAAAATGTGGTATATTTATACAATAGAACATTATTCAGCCATAAAAAGTAAAGGATTATTGTTATGTGTTACAATAGGGATGATTTGGCTCAGAGGGTAAAGTGTCTGCCTGCAATGCAGGAGACCTGGGTTCAATTCCTGGGTTGGGAAGATTCCCTGGAGAAGGAAATGGCAACCCACTCCAGTACTCTTGCCTAGAAAATCCCATGGAAGGAGAAGCCTGGTAGGCTACAGTCCATAGGGTCACAAAGAGTCGGACACGATTGAGTGACTTCACTTGAAAATATTATTCTACGTGATAGATATCATTTCACAAAAGGTTACATATTATATAATTCCATTTATATGATAAGTCTGTAGGCAAATCTGTAGATACAGAAAGTAGATTAGTGGTTGCCTAGGGCTGGGATGTTGCAAGGGGGAAGGGGGAGTGATAGCTATAAGTGTTTCTTTTGAGTGTGATGAAAATGTTTAAAATTGATTGTGGTTATGGTCACACAACTCTGTATATAGTAAGAATCATTGAATTGTATAAATTGGTGAATCTCAATAAAGCAGATATATATTATATCTATCATATATCAGAGAGTGATAAGTACTATGGAGAAATGTAAAGTAGGGAGAGAAGATAACAATGCTGGGACTGAAGATTGGAATTTTGTTTTCTTTTTTAGTTTTTGGCTGTACCGTGTGGCAAGTGGGATCTTAGTTCCCCGACCAGGGATGGAACCTGCATCCCCTGCACTGGACAGTGGAGTCCTAACCACTGGACTACAGGGAAAATCTCTGAAGGTTGGCATTTTAAGTAGAGAGATCATTGGTAGGGTTCACTAAGGAGGTGATATATGAACAAAGATATTCTGAAGGCAATGAGGGAGTCAGGCAATATTTAGTGAGGAGCTTTCTAGGCAGGGCCTGGCTTTGGATCTGAGCTTTGTCGCTGCTGATATGTATGACCTTGGACAAGTTACTTAATGGCTCATGCTTCAGTTTTTTAAATCTGTGAAATAGTTCCTCCTATTTTCTATTAAAATGACTAATGGTACCTATTTCAAAAGTTTATTATATGAACTAAATTAATAATTAAAAAGGAATTAAAGCACTTAGAACAGTATGCTGACACTAAGTATTTTTATTAGCTCCTACTGCAAGCATAAAAGGCCTTGTATTCTATCATGAAACCATGCCTGCAAGGTCATGCCTGCAATGAATCAAGGAGGCCAAGTGGAGCTGGTGCGAGAGGGATAGCTTGCAATAATGAGTAAGAGGGAAGACTGCAGGAAACAGGGAGAGGGCCTGTGACTTTTATGCTGGGAGATGAGAAATCACTGGCAGGTTATGAATGAAGGCAGTGTTGTTTTAGTTGCTAAGCCGTGTCAGACTTTTTGCAACCCTATGCACTGTAGCTGTCAGGCCTTTCTATCCATGGAATTTCCCAGGCAAGAGTAGGTTGCCATTTCTTTCTCCAGGGGATCTTACCTCCATCTCCTGTATTGGAAGGCGGATTCTTTACCCTTGAGCCACCAACAGTATCTGACTCATTTTAACACCAGCACTCTGCATCTTATGTTGAAAGTAGACTAGATGGGCAAGGATGCACTTCAAGGAAACCAGTTCTGAGCTGTTTAGTAATGCAGGTGAGAGATGGTGGTGCTCAAAGTGGTTAGATTCTGGTTCTACTTTTGAGATAGAGACGACTAATTCTAGTTCTATAGAAAGATTGGATATTAAGTATGAGAGAGAAAGACTGTGGTTTTAACCTGATCAATTGTCAGAATCCAGCTTACATTATTGTGATGGATTTTTAAAATTGTTTATTTTATATTTAACAGGTGTGGCATAGGTACTAGTAGGCGACAGGAAGTGGGAATCAACGTTTCAATTTTGGACATGATAAACCTGAACTGTCTATTGCACGTCCGAGCAGAGCGGTGTTCAGGGGAGAGGTTCGGACAGGAAAGAGGATAGATCATTCCTTCTTTCACAAATATTTATTGAAAACCCACCTTGTGCCAGCTTCTATTCTAGGCTCTGGAGGTAATTGTGAGAATGCTGACAAAGTTCCTCAGCTAATGGTGAGACAGGTCATAATCAAGTTGGCAATCAAGCACAATAACGTATGTAAAGTGGCTCTTCTGAGGAAACACAATGTACAACTGCTATTGTTGTTTATAATATTTAGAACATAGCAAGCGCTAGAAGATGGGAGGCGTTGCCAGTCTACGACTGCCTCTTCCCCTTCGGTAGTAGCCAGATATCCCACCTGCAAATCCGGCCAGATATCCAGAGGCCGCGGAATGGCAGCATTGCGCAAGCGCAGCCTCAGTCTGGCTTCCTAGGAGACTGACTCGGAAAGTTCTGGCGCAGGCGTAATACAAGAGGCGGAGGACGCCTCGAGCCCGGGGATGGGGCGGGGCGAGCTCGGAGTGCGCCTGCGCACAGCGCGCTCTCGCCAGAGGAGCCGCAGCCTTGGGTGCGCCAAGGTGGTGTTTCAGTAGTCTGACCCGCCGCTCCCGTGAACCCGGCGTCGTTGGACTGCACCCCGGGCGGGGACGTCCGCGGGGCACGGGAGGAAGCCGCAATGCCGGTAAGGAGAGTCACTCAGCCGCTGGGGTTCCTGCTCATCTCTGAGGCCTGGCCGGGTGGCGCGGCCGTTACCATGGAGGCGCGGAGCAGGCGGGCGGCCCGGGTGGGGCGGGGCGGGGCCGGGCCGGCCCAGCGGTGTGGGAGCCAGGCGGCTGGGCCCGGGCATGTGGGGGTCCACCCGACCCTGGGAGGGGCCCGGAGCAGGCTTTGCCACCTTGGCCGCTGCTGCATCCCGAAAGGCCTGGGGTGCTTGACATAAAGGCGCTGTGCCAGAGGATGCGCTCTCGCTCCCAGCCCTGTTCTCTGGGCAGGGCGTCTAGGGGCGGCCGCGGAGGGTTGGCTCTCGGATGCCGGGTGGGTCTCTGCGTCGCGGAGCCAAGCTCTGGAAGGCGGCAGAGCAGGGCTTGCCTGCCCCTGCTCCAGGCTCCTGACTCGAGCTGTCATTCCTCCCCTGGCGCTCTAGCTTACAGTGCAGAATGTGCTCCGTAGGTGTCTTTGTGTGTGAGGGGGGCGAGTGGTGGGTGATGGTATGCTTGTCTTGTAGGATTTCAGAGATTATTATCGTGTAACTTAATAAGGGGGCGTCGTAAGTCCAGTGCAGAGTCATGGGGAACATTCAACTGTGGCCGGTTATTTACGTGAGGGGGTGAGTGGTGGGTGGTCGTATGTTCGTCTTGTAGGATTTCACAGATTATTATCGTTCACTTAATAAGCAGGCGTCGTAAGTCCGTTATAGGGTCATGGAGAACACCTGAGCAGTGGCCGGTTGCGAGGCCCTGGGTGATTTATCTTTCTGGGTTCTTCTTTCCTGCATAATTAAACTTTTCCTCATGGGGGTATCAGGGTGAAATAAGATAATGCGCAGGAGGCTTGAAGGACAGCGCTTGACTTTTAGCATTAAATGCTTAGTATTTGTTCCTTGTTGCTTTCTATTTAATTATCAATTTATTCAGCAATTTATTACTGGGCTCCAGCCACACTGGTGGCTCAGTGGTAAAGAATCTCCCTGGTAATGCAGGAGAAGCTGGTTTGGTCCCTGGTTGGGGAGGTTCCCCTACAGAAGGAAATGACAACTCACCCCAGTATTCTTGTCTGGAAAATCCCATGGGCAGAGGACTCTGGCGGGCTACAGTCCATGGGGACACCAGTTAGCTACTAAACAACAACAACTACATACTAGGCACTGGAGATACAATATTGAGCAAAACCAGCCAGGTTCTTGAACTTGGGAACAGAAAAGCTTGCTGTGTAGGGCAGAGGTGAAAACCACACATATTTACAGTGATAGAATACTTAGCTAAGTGAAGTGGATAGGTGGCATACAATAGATAGAAGTAGACTCTGGCGAATTGTTTAAATGGTGCCATGTAGGAATGCTGGCTTACAAATGTCAGATATGTATTTTTTTCAGAGAGTCTAGAGGTTGTTATTTTAATGAAATTTCTAATTTTTAAATTTTAGCAACTAACTTAAAATAAGATTTTTAGATAATAGGACCCAAACAAAAGACTTTCGTGGGCTGAATTTAGTCCCTTGACTGAGTACCTGTTTGGAACTTCTCATTTTAGATACAGACATGGACTTTAATAAAATAAGAAGCCCCCCCCCCCCCAAAAAAAAAATTGTAACCAATGCAGAAGAAAGAATGGTGCTATCAGGACCTATGTTAGGTCAGTTCTAGTCAGGGAAGTCTTCCCAGGTGAAGGAGCTATTGGGCTGACCTCTACAAGGTGATTGAAGAGGGTGGAGCATGTTTTAGGCATAAGAAGCAGCACCTGGAAAGGGGTGTGGCGAGAGGAAGCATGCAGGCAAGAAAAGGCCTAAAAGAAAGCCGGTGTGGCTGTGACTAAGAAAGTCAAGCAGAGTAACTTGTGAGATAAAGCTGGAGAAGTGGGCATGGGCCAGAACCAGATCTTACAGACCACTGTAAGGATTTTTGACTTTTATCCTAAAGTCTGTGGGAAACTATTGCAGAGAGTTCTGAGTAGGGGAGTGACATAATTAGATTTGTGTTGAAACCGACTGCCACGTAGAGAACAGACCATAGGGGAACCTAATTAGATGCAATAGTACAGTTGTAGGTGGTGGTGTTTAGTTGCTAAGTCATGTCCAACTCCTTGCCACCCAGTGGACTGGAGCCTCCCAGGCTCCTCTTGACCTTGGAATTTCCCAGGCAGGAGTACTGGAGTGGGTTGTCATTTTCTTCTCCAGGGGAAGTTCCCAACCCAGGGATTGAACCTGAGACTCCTGAATTGCCAGGCAGATTGTTTATCACAGAGCCCTGTTTATTGCCAGGGAAGCCCAGCAGTACAGTTAGGAGTCTCTTATAATTCGGGACAAGATAATAACCTGGAATAAGGTGGTGAAAGTAGAGATGGAAAGAAGTGTGTTGAATTGATATCATCTATTCCTTGTGAATGACAGTGGCTCATGTTTGTTTCTCTGATGCTTAGAAGAGTATCTGAAAGACCCTCAGAAAACAAACTTACGGTTACCTAAGGGGAAAGGCAGGGGCAGGGAGGGACAGATTGGGAGTTTGGGATTGATATATACACACTTCTATATATGATAACAACAGCAAATATATAAAATAGATAATAAACAAGGACCTACTGTATAGCACAGGGAACTCTACTCAATTTTCTGTAATAATCTAAATGAGAAAAGAATTTTTGAAAAAGTAGATATATATTTAACTGAATCACTTTGCTGTACACCTGAAACTCATACAACATTGTAAATCAACTATACTTCCATATAAGATAAAGATTAAATTAAAAATAAAGAAATTATATTGTGAAAAAAAAAAGAGTAGGAATTTAATATCTGTTCAACTAAACTGTTAAACTGGATAATAATTGGATTATATTTAATAATTGGATTGAATTTTAATATAGATGCTTAATCATAGAATTTCAGAGTTTGAAACTTTACGTATACAAATGTTCATAAGGGTAGAGTCATTTAAAAAATTTTTCCAAAACATTTTTTCTCTGCCATTAGGCTTTTTTTTTCTGTCTTTCACTAATATAGAAAAAGTAGACCTTATGTGGATATATTATTTGATTAATTTCTTTTTTTTTCTAATGCATTGTAGAAAAGAAAATTGAAAGTCTCAGAGGGCACAGAGGACCTACTACTGGATTCTTGATTAACGTTATTAACCACATTCACATTTGTTTTTCTATAGGCAGGAAACTCAGAGGAAGTCAGGGACTTTGTGCAGAAAGACAGGTCTCTTATAGATTCTGATTTTTCTGCCTGAATAGCATTAACTATAAATGTAAATTAAGTTACCTCTTCCATTATTTGTATTATAAAAGAAACTTTTTATACCTTTTAATAAGTTTTTCTATATATCTGTAAGGTCTTTAATTACATTTAACAAGTAATTATGGAGTGTTTAACATGTGCAGGGCACTGAGGTGGCAAAGTAGCCTTTTCAGGTTTTAAATTTAATCTGTTGAAGGTAAAAGTAAATGTTCTTTTCATTATTTGTAAATATTTTCTCCACCAGATCAATAAATCAGAGAAGCCGGAAAGCTGCGATAATGTGAAGGTGGTGGTTAGGTGCCGGCCCCTCAATGAGAGAGAGAAATCAATGTGCTACAGACAGGCTGTCAGTGTGGATGAGATGAGGGGAACTATCACTGTGCACAAGACTGACTCTTCCAATGAACCTCCGAAGACATTTACTTTTGATACTGTTTTTGGACCAGAGAGTAAACAACTAGATGTTTATAACTTAACTGCCAGACCTATTATTGATTCTGTTCTCGAAGGCTACAATGGTGAGTACTTTAGTTTACTTTTAAACAACTTTTTATCAAGTTATTAATAATACCCAGTGAATTCACCCACTGTAATTGTATAATTGAATTGTACAGTTTGAGTTGTAGCAAATACATACAGTTGTGAAACCATCAGTTTTATCATCCCCATAAGTTCTTCTGTGTCTGTTTGCAGTCCTACCCCCAGCAACCATGGACCTGCTTTCTGTCTAGTTTTGTCTTTCTTTAGAATTTTGTATAAATCAGATTATACACTATTTTGCCTTTATCTGTTTTCTTTGAGTTGTTCAGTTGTGTTCGATTCTTTGCCACCTCTCGGACTGCAGCATGCCAGACTTCGGTGTCCTTCACTGTCTCATCGAGTATGCTCAAACTCATGTCCATTGAGTTGGTGATATCATCCAACCATTGTGACTCAGACAGTGAAGAATCTGCCTGCAGTGCAGGAGACACGGGTTTGATCCCTGGGTTGGGAAGATTCTTTGGAAAAGAATTCTCCTGTATTCTTACCTGGAGAATTTTGTGGACTGAGGAGCCTGGTGGGCTACAGTACATGGGTCTGAAAGAGTCAGACATTAGTGAGCGACTAACACTTTTTTTGATTTAGTGTAATATTTTTGAACATCCATGTTGTAGCATATATCAGTAGTTCCTTTTTTTTTTTTTTAGTAGTTCCTTTTTATTGTTAAGTTTTATTCTATTATATGAAAATACCACCTTTTATGATCTTTGGGGATTTGAATGATTCTAGTTTTTGGCTATTAAAAATGATGCTGTTAGGAACATTGTTTTGTTAAGTCTTTCTGCAGATAAGTTTCAAAATTTGTCTTGGATAGATACCTAGGAGCAGAATTGCTGTATCTTGTGGTTTATGTATGTTTATCTTTTGAAGAAACTGCAAAACAGTTTTTCACAGTGTTGACTGTATTTCTTTTTTCCCAACAGCATGGTATGAGAGTTCTAGTTTCTTTATGTTCTCACCAACTCTTAAACTATCATTCTTCTAAATTATAGCTATTCTAGAGGATATGTAGTGATATCTCATTGTATTTCCCTAATGATTAACAGCATTAAACATCTGTGTACTTATTGGTCATTTATGTATCTTCTTGGTAAAATATCTCTTAAAATATTTTACCCATTTTAAACTTTGGTTGCCTGTGTTCTTATTATTCAGTCATGCTTTTTATATATTGGATTCATATTCATGATCAGATATGTGATTTGAAAATATTTCTCCCAGTCTGTGGCTTGTCTTTTCATTTTCCTAGTGACATTTTTTGAAAAGTTTTATATTTTGTTGAAGTCTAGCTATCAGTTTTTCTTTTATCATATGCTTTTGGTAACATAGCTCAGAAATTTTTTCCAAACCCAGGACCACTAAGATTTTCTCCTGTGTTTTTATCTAGAAGTTGTAAACATTCAGATCTTACATTTCTTAAAAATAATTTTGTTTACTTTTTTGGCTGTGCACGGTCTTCGTTGCTCCAGGGGCTTTTCTCTAGTTGTGGCGAGCCAGGGCTGCTCTCATTGCAGTGGGCAGGCTTCTCATTGCCTGTGCCTCTCCTTATGCGGAGCACAAGGCTCAGTAGACGTGGCGCATGGGCGTGGTTGCTCCACAGCATGTGGGATTCCTGGACCGGGAATTGAACCTGTGTCTCCTGCATTGGCAGGCAGATTCTTTACCGCTGAGCCACTGGGAAAGCCCTCTGGCCCATTTTAATTTTTATATATGATGTGAAGTTAGGATTTGAGTTTTGTTTTTTTTTTCTTCCTTTCTCTATCTCACTCCCTTTTTTCCTTATCTTGCTTGTGGATATCTAGTTGTTCCAGCATTATTTATTGAGAAGACAACTCGTTCTCTATTGAATAACTTTTGTCAAAATTCAACTGACCACAAATAGGTGGGCTTATTTCTGGATTGTCTGTTCTATTCTGTGTCTGTCTTGTTTTAATGATTATAGCTTTGTAAAATGTTTTGAAATTAGGTAGTGTATGTTTTCTTATTTTGTTACTCTGTCAAAGTTGTTTTAACTTTTCTAGGTCCTTTGCATTTTTATGTAAGTTGTAGGAACACGTCAATTTACATATACAACCTCCTAGGATTTTGGTAGGGATTGTGTTGAATTACTATTCTGACAGTATTGAATCTTCCAATACATGAACATGATATATCTATTTATATCTTAATTTCTCTCATCATTATTTTCTAGTTTTTGATTGCAGATCTTGTACTACTTTTGGTAAACTTTTCTTAAGTATTTTTTGATGCTTATTGTGAACAGAATTGCTGTCATAATTTTCTTTGGGGAATTGCACATTGTTAATGTATAGAAATGCAATTGATTATTTTAGACTTTTTAAATTGAGATAAAATTTAAATAACATGAGTAAGTGGTAAAGCGTTAGTCATTTCAATCATGTTTGACTCTTTGTGACCCCATGGGCTGTATCCTGCCAGGTTCCTCTGTCCATGGAATTCTCCAGGGAAGAATACTGGATTGGGTTGCTGTTCCCTCCTCCAGAGGCTCTTCATGACCTAGGGATCGAACCTGGTCGGTCTCCTGCATTGCAGGCAGATCCTTTACTGTCTGAGCCGCCAGGGAAGCCTAATAAGTTCACTATTTTAACCATTTTACACTGTACACACTAGGGGGTTTTAGTGCTTCGTATACACAACCACATATCTGTTTCCAGAACACTGCCATCACCCCTCAGAGAAACTGTACCCATTAGCAGTTACTCCCAATTCTCTCTCTCCTGCCCTGGCAATCACTTACTTTGTGTGTATGAGTTTGCCTTTTCTGGGCATTTCTAACATATAGAGTCATATACCATTTATTCTGATGTGTCTGGCTTCTTAACATGATTTAAAAAATTTATTTATTTACTTACTTTTTGGCTGCACTGGGTCTTCACTGCTGCTCTTGGCCTGTCTCCAGTTGCAGTGGCTTCTGCTGTTGCAGAGCCTGGCTCTAGGGCACGTGTGTTTAGTTGCCCCATGGCGTGTGGAATCTACCCAGTCCGGGGATTGAGCCTGTGTCCCTGGTATTGGCAGGCAAATTCTTAACAGCTGGACCATCAGGGAAATCCTAGCATGATGTTTTTGACGTTCATCCATGTTGTTGTATATACCCATAGTTCATTCTTTTTTAATGGCCAAATGATGTTCCGTTGTCTGGATATACTATATAGTTTATTCATCAGTTGATGAACATTTGGGTTGTTTCCATTTCTTGGCTTTTATGAATAATGTTGCTATGAACATTGTTGTACAAGTTTTTATGTGAACATAAATTTTCAGTTTTCTTAGGTACCTAGGAATATAACTGCTGAGTCAAAATGCTACCTGCTTTCATGTTGATGTTTGGCAGAATCCAACAAAATTCTGTAAAGCAATTATCCTTCAATTAAAAAATAAAACAAACAAAAAAAATGGTAACTGGGTAACTGCCAGTCTCTTTTCCACAATGGCTATACCATTTTTACATTCCTACCAGCAATATGTGAAATTTCCAATGTCCGCATAACTTTGCCAAAATTTGTTATTTGTCTTTTTGATTATAGACAATGTAGTGGGTGTGATCTCTCATGTGGGAGCTCATGTTTTGCAACTGATTTTTGTATATTTTGTATACTGTAACCTTGCTAAACTTATTATTTCTAGTAGGCTTTTTTTGGGGGAAGGTAATCTCCTTAGGATTGTCTATACACGAGAGCTCATCTGAAAATAATGACAGGACAGCTTCTTTCTTTCCAGTCTTTTTGTTACCTGAATTGCCCTGTGTAGAATAGAAATGGTAAGGGGGGACATTTTTGTATTGTTCCTAATCTTAGGATGAAAGCATTCATACTTCTACCAATGTGAAGTTCTCTGTAGATTTTTCATAGACATTCTTTACCAGATTGAGTGAGCTCCTGTTTGTTCTTAGTTTGCTGAGATTTCTTTTCAGGAGTGTATATCAGATTTTGCCAAATGCAGTTTTTTTGCACTTAAATTATTTCTAAAAGTTTTTTAATATGGTCCATTGATTGATTTTTAAATGTGAAATCAGCCATGCCCCTTGGTCGTGGTATATTATCCTCTTGTATAATGTTAGATTTGATTAGCTAAAATGCTATTTAACATTTTTGCAACTGTGGCCATGAGGGATGTAAATAATGTGGTTTTCTTGTAATGTCTTTATCTGGTTTTGGTATCAGAATAATGCTAGTTTCATAGAATGAGTTGAGAAGAATTCCCTCCTTTTTAATTATCTGGAAAAATTTGCCTAGGATTAGTATTATATCTTCTTTAAGTGTTCGGTAGGATTCACCAGTGAAGTCTACTAGGCCTGGAATTTTTTTCATGGAAAGGTTTTTAGCTACAGATTGAATTTCTTTAATGGATACAGGAATATTCAGGTTATTTTTTGTTTTTTTTTTAGTGAGCTTTGACAGTTTGTCTTTAATGGAATTTGTCTGTTTCATCTAAGTTATGGGCTTTATTGGAGGAAAGTTGTGTGTGTCAATCCTCTATCCTTATGTTAGAATGTAGTGATGTAACCTTTTTCATTCCTGATATTGGTAATGTGTGTTCTCTTTTTCTCCTGATTAATCAGGCAAGAGGTTTATCAGTTTTATTGATCTTTTCTCTTTTTCTCAAAGAACTAATTTTTGGTTTTACTAATTTTTCTTCATTACTTTTATGATTTTCAATTTCATTGATTTCTTCTTTGATCTCTTTTTATTCTGTTACTTACTTCATCTTCTTTTTCTACTTTGTTAAGGTAGAAGCCAAGGTCATCATTTTGAGACCTTTCTTCCTTTATAATATAGGAATTTAATGCTCTAAATTACCCCCTAAGTACTGCTTTAGTGACATCATACAGGTTTTGACATACTGTGTTTTCATTTTAGGCAGTGCAAAATACTTTCTATTTTCTTTCTTGATTTCTGGGTTATTTAGACATGTCTTGGTTTCCAAATGTTTTGACAGCTTTCTGTTACTGATTTCTAAT